TCTCATTCATCATCTTCAGGCTTCTGTCTCCGGCTCTGTGCTTCTCACAGAGCCAAAGACAGAAGCCTGAAGATGATGAATGAGACTTCATCGAAACGTTGCCTAGATACTTCGAATCTTATGCGGGAGAAAACCCGAACAACCAAAGATCCACATATATATATAACAACACTCCAACTGAAGTTATGCTGAAATGCTCAGAATTCTTTATAGTTGACCATGATAACTAAGACTGATGGAGGACAATCCTTTTTCATACCAGAATTTTTTAACACCTGCTGGTGTCCCATCAATTTCATACTTCCATATTTTGCTACTTGCAATATTTGCAGAATTCCTATACCCTTTATTGGATTTTTTTTTTTGCCTATACAAACAATATGAATAAGGAATTGAGTGATCTAGATCAAGGGTCATCAACCTTTTGCACCTCAGGGACCACCAAACTCATAATTTTAAATCCCACGGACCACTAATAGGAATTTTGACCGAGGATGGCTTGCTGACATTGGTGGGAAAGTCGGTCCCATATTCCAGACTGCAGTAGTCACAGGACTTTCCCTTTGGTCAACCCAGAGCAGCTGCTCCTCCACCCGGGTGCACTGGCCTGTCATTGACTGGAGGAGCTGCTCTGGGATGACCAAAGGGGTGGCTTTCCCTCCCCCGCTGTTGGTCTTACCTTCCATTTCAGCTCATGTGGCTTTATTCAAGGTAAGGTTTGTGCTCGGCTGAAGGGTTGGGGCCAGCAGATGGGCGGGCCATGTGGGTGGCACAGCCTTGTGTTCCTGCACAGTGTGGATTAATTGCTTTGGGGGGAGTGTTTTTGGGGGACATTTCTCTGTGGACCACCAAAATTTCCTCATGGACAACCAGTGGTCCCTGGCCCACTAGTTGGCAACCACTGATCTAGATTGGGACTGCAGCATATAGCAAATGACTAAGCTTTCGCTACTAATTAATTAATATCCTGCTGCACTTTGCTATTTTGTGGGTTTTTGTAAAAAAAAAATCTTTGAAACTGCCATTTCTGTGAAAAAGCATTCTATCTACTCTGAACTTGTTTTTAAATGCATCTATTTACAATGAATAAATTTACAATCTTCAGCAGAGCATCCTGTTAAGTAACCAAGTTCAGTCTTATGCTTAAATGCATATTCAGCCTGACTCATTTCAAAGTTCTTTAATCACACTTCATTTTCACTGATTGCACCTGCTGACTTCGTCAAAAAATACATGCAAAATGTGTCTCCTGTTATAAAGGAAATTGATAATGAATTACCCTTCGAGCTGCAAGGTTCCCAGTTATCTCACTGACTCTCGATTTTCTTTGATTTGCCAGTTCTTTCACAGAATTAACACCATCAGAAAACATACTGATTACCAACTGAAGTGGAACTACAATGTCCAATTCAGATAACACCTGAAAAAAAAAAAGAAGACAGTGTTCTCAGGTTCAACTAAAAACTGAAGCGCTAGTATATATTTTAGAAATTAGGTCAAAATGAAAAACGAACTTAAAAGCATGCATTTAATTTAGTCCCTATACAAATGAAGATCTAGCGCATGGGGGTTGAAACTGAAGTTGTAGAATTTATGGACTGCAATCTGTGTGATGATCAACTGAACTGTGAATAAATGAAACAAACAAAATGTTAAAAAATTGTGATATTTATGTAGTTACTTACCAAGCACATCTGAATTATATTAAATTAACCACAATATCGTTACTTTGGAAATTGAAAGTTGAAAAAATTGACATGCCCTAGTTGGTGTATATATGGCACTAATTATGTTTATGTGAGGCTTAGTATGATATATTAATTGTACCATTGAAACTATGGTTTATAGTTTAGCAAACTATACAAACTCAATTTTTATTATTTGTTCAACAGATCAAAGTCAAATAATCATGCTTAATATATGTGAACCCAGCTTCTGCTTTTAGGTTGGCTTCCTCAAAGAGACTCTTAATGCAAGTCACCTAAAATTATTACTGAAGCCTTAATTTCTTAAATGTACATCTTTCAGTCATGACAAAACTTATAGATAGAATGACCACATTGCTTTCTAACAGATACAGCCAAATGCTTATCTGATTAGCCTCTGCATCAGATGCCTCTGTATGATTTCTTGAGATTGCATTAACTTCATAACAGGTAGCAAGGAAAAGGAAGTAAGAGTACAGACTCTGTAAGCTATTTTATGAGTTGAACACTGAAAGTGTCTCACAGATGACAAAGATTGATCATAGGTAGCTCCAAGACAATAATAGTAGAAGCCACCTAATGTTTGCTTGGGATAGTGAGCCAAAATACCAACTAATGCTAATAATTAAAAATATGATAGACAAATTAAATAGTTAGTAGGATTAGTATATATTAATTTTGTGTTGATGCACACAAATACTATCTGGGAACTATGTCCTATTATCATACTATAATGTATGATTTTCATAGGATGATTTGATCAAAGATATGTCAGCACTCACATGAAGCCAGAGTAGAGCTTGTTCTTGTACAGAGGATGGATATCCTGTGAATCGACAGCTTATGAAGCCGAACATTTCCTCCATAGAAAAAGGGAGTGGGCATAGCTCAATATCAAACATTTTACTGCAATACACAAAGGCAAAAAAAATGATTAGCAAGTTCTTTTAGATGGCTGCCAAAAAGAGCAAAGGCTGTCCACAAATTTTTAAAATGACACTTAAACAATTCTAATTACTAATTGATGTATTATTTATGAAACCAACTGTTTGTAAAACATTTAAAATTTAAAATGTTTTGAATCTGAAGCACCCTGCTCTGATCCAGGACAGCTAGTCTAAAAATTCCAGAAGTCTAAGATCAAAGCAATCCTATTTCAAGCTCCAAACTTTGGCTTCAAATAACATGCTATAATTTTTATTTACTCATTTTTAAGCACACTATATATTTTTTTTATTTTTAAATAGTTTGCATATTTGGAAACTTTGGAACTTTATAAAATAAATTCTGCACTAAAGGCTGAAATTCTGTAATATATTATATAAAGTAAACAAATGTCTTATGCTCTATTCATATCATGCCATACATAGTTATACTGCTTATTTAAGGCAGGCTTTTGGCTTAAGTGCTTCATTAGACATTTGATCAGGAAAATATTATATATATGTAAAGGTTCTACATCATATAGCAGTTTTTACTGGAATAAATTCCAAATGTGACTATGCCAATTGGTGGTCATGAAAAGAGCAAATGGTCCTATGGAATTTTGAAAAGAAATAAGATTATGTAAGAAGATTCTATGAGAAGCATGAAAAGGACAATGAAGAAGTTTGACATATATGAAAGAATAGAGAATACCTTAGAATCTCAATTTTTGAGACCCTTTTAATCCAAACTTTGATCAGTGCAAGTAGTGTAGAATTATAGCATTTCTGTTCATGATTTCCCATCTTTGCTCAAATATCTCCAGTGAAAAAGGACCATCAGTCCTATAAGCTACAATAGTCTATATTCCTGACCATTAGGAAGTTTAACAGTTTCTAATCCCCTCTTTAGAAAGTAATGTAATTATATAATTTATGGATGCTTTTATTTTTGTATTACACGTGTACCATTCTGAACTGATAATAAAATGGGAAGGAATTCAAATTAAACTGAAGTAAATATATGTCAGCATCTCTCTCTACAATCAAAATCAAAGTATGATATATCGATTAGTGCAACTCTTTGGCTATCCACCTTTTTAAAAAGATGCAAATTAAACAATACCACAGAGAATTATGATTGTAGGCACTTGCTCTTCTGCAACTTGGAATTTTATTGATATATCAATATCAAGAACTAATGTTCAACCTATAAGTTCCTAAATAACATTCACAGACCTCCAAGACTTGAATCAAACCATTGGCTAAGGAGGCATCTCAAGAGGTTTAGAATTTGAAAGTGCTTTCTTGCAATTGAAACTTTGTGTCCTATCCAGATCTGATGTTTTTGGGGAAAGCAACTGCGTTTTTTCCAAGGGCTTGAAATTTCATATATGTTACAGAACATATTTCATGTCTGACATTCCATTTATAAAGTTGCAGTTTAGATTTGTAAGGCTTGGATTACAGTCTGAAAGTTGACTAACATATAAGCTTCAATTCCTCCAACAGGAATTAAAAAGACTGCATATTGTTCCACTTACCTTAATACTTCCCTGAATTCCTTTAGTTGATTATCTGGCACTTCAGTCCTGATGGCTTCCAGCCATTCTGGCATAATACAGTCCCACACAGGTTGATTGATTACATTGTATGGAATTAAGCAGAGGATCCGATTCAGACCTTCCTTTAATTGTGTCACAGTGCTACATGACTTATCCCAATATCCACCTACCTGAGGACATTGCCAAGGGGAAAAAAGCTGGTATTAAATGTCATATATTAAATGTCATATAGTACTGAAGGCACTAAATGTAGCTAGCACTACATTTCCTTTTTGTGCACAACAAGCACTCAAAATATTAAACTTTGTAATTTAAGACTGCTAGGAATGTCCATTACTTATGGATCTAAATATGTTTATCTGTGACATTGCTACAAATCAAGAACTATATAACTCTTACCCTTGCAAATTCCATTGGTTTAGGAAGAAGGCACATCACCATGACATCAAATCTAACATCGCACACTGTTTTCAGCCATTTAGTGACAAATTGGGGTTTGAGTTTCTCCACTAGGCTGCCAACTTCATCATCCATCATGTATGCCGTGGAGTGGAACCACTGGAAAACCATGCTGACAAGCCGTGCCAAACTCTCTGTAGGAGTGTTCTCGCTAGGGGTGCATAGGCTAACCTGCAAACAAAATGTGCTCAATTTTTCTCTTTATTTTTTGCAAAAAAAAACCCAAGAAAAACGTGTTTTTTTAGATAGATTAACTAACAAAGGCACAAAAACTTGGGAAAAGAACTATTTATTTATTTATTTGGTTTGTCAATCGCTTACAAGATAATAGGAATAAGTATAAACATGAGTAAGAATACAGGGAATAGATACAAATAAATGAGGACAATAGGACAGGAATGGTAGGCACCATTGTGTGCTTATGCATGCCCCTTACAAACGTCTTAGGAATGGGGTGAAGTCAATAGTGGATAGTTCAAGGGTAAAGGAGTGGGGGTTAGAGGATGTAACAACAGATTCAGGTAGTGCATTCCAGGCATTGAGCACTCTGTTGCTGAAGTCGTACTTTCTGCAATCATGTTTGGAGCGGTTTACATTGAGTTTGTATCTGTTGTGTGCTCTTGTATTGTTGCAGTTGAAGCTGAAGTAGTCATTGACTGGTAGGACATTGTAGCAGATAATTTTGTGTATTATGCTTAAGTCTAACCATAGGCGTTGTAGTTCTAGGTTGTCCAAGCCCAAAATTTCAAGCCTGGTGATGTAGAGTATTCTGTTGCGAGTAGAGGAGTGTAGTACTCTACTCTACTCTTCTCATGAAATACTTCTGTACTCACTCAATTAATGTCTGATATACAGTGCAGATTCCAGACAGATGAGCTGTATTCGAGTATTGGTCTAGCAAAGGTTTTGTATGCCCTAGTTTTCAATTCAATATTACCAGAGGAGAAGCTTCATAAGATTATACAGTATTTAGAACTCTTAATGCCTTTTTGGCAATGCTGTTAACAGTGAGCTCTGGCACTTAGGTCATTTGATATGAGTACTCCAAGGTCCTTGACAGAGTGAGTTCTACTATTATCAAGCTCAGCCAAAAACATTGGAAAAACAACAAATGTTTAACATAAATAATGAAATCATACGCAACTACTAGCATGCATTTGTTCTAATTAGGACTTATCTATTAAAAATAAAAGCTAAGATTCAAAATGAGATTTAGATTCAGTTTCTAACAGATCTTTGTGCAATATTCCAATGTGACCAACTCCAGACAAAATTATTTCCATCTAGTTTCAGCATAGATTACAGTCCTTTTGACCATCTCTTATTTGTTCTTTGGTTTAATACCATCCCCTTTAAGAAGTTGTTTAATAGTCATTTATCCTGATATTAAGAAACAAGTCTGATAAAAAGACATGCTTCTCACATTCCTACTTCAGCTAAGCAGACTACATATTCAGGTATCCATCTAAACAGTCTATTGCCATGAACTTTCTTTATTCACTAAGATTCAGAACACTGGTCTCAATTTTATAGATATGTTGGCCTTCAACTCACATAATCTCCAGACAGCAATAGATTGGGAAGACTGGCTATGGGTGATGGGGTTAAAGCACCATGTTTAGAAAGTCTGTTTTAATCTCTGAGATGTTTCTAATAATTCTCATAGAATTTGAATCTTAAGAGAAGAAAGCACACCTACCAGGAACCAGATTCCAAATTGGCTCAGAAGCCGCTGATCATGCTTGTCATCATCTTTGTTATCAAAATCTGTGTTGTCCAAAGAATGATGAGAGGAAGACAGGCCCAGCTGCCTCCTGCGATTGAGCTCGTACTCTCTTTGTTCAGCATGGAATTCAGCCTCTTTCAGCAGGCTAAAAGATGAAGAACAACACCTAAGATGAACTCCAAAACCTGTATATGAGTTTACTGTACTAACCTTTCAGTGCCAGGCAGTGTGGTTTCTTGGACTGAAACCATGGGTGAATCTGGTAGGGCATTGTGGGTTCAATCTGGGTGATACCAATTGGGAAAGGCTGCAATAATGGGACAGAGGATTGGGGGGGGGGGCAGAAAGGAACATCTGGCTATATTAATTAAGCTGATGAAGGTTACCTGATGACAGCTTCCACCGTACAGACTAATTCCTCAGCACCACATTCACGGGTATTGATAGGAGGTGGTGATGTCTGATAAAGGTGAGTCTCTGCTGTTGCCCCGACTTCACTGCTGTGATGATTTGAGTGGCATCTTTTGCAGTAACGCACTGGCCTGTTACCATGGCGACCACAGCACCCAGCAGAGAAACATGTCACAACAGCCCTCCTAACATGTGAGCTGCAATTCTGCAAAATAAATAAATAAATAAATGGGATATAGAACTAGCTGACCATCATAGAAATTTACATTTAAAACACTACCTTGGAATGGGTTGAAAAGCTGAGATACTTAGAGAGCGGAGAAATGCAGAGTTCAGATGTGAGCTACAGATAATCCTTGACATATGACTGCAATATAGCCCTAAATTTCCATTGTTAAGCAAGATACAGGAGTTGTTCGGTGATTTTTGCCTCATTTTACTATCTTTCTTACCACAGTTGTTAAGTGAATCACTGCAGTTTTTAAGTTAGTAACACAGTTGTTACATTAGTCTGACTTCCCCATTGACTTTGCTTGTCAGAAGGTCGCAAAAGGTGATCACATGGCCCTGGGACTCTGCAACTATCATAAGTACATGCCAGTTGCCAACTGTCCAAATTGTGATCACATGACCACCAGGATGTTGTCGTAAGTTTGAATAGTTACTAAATAAATGGTTGTTAAGTTGAGGAGTACCTGTACTAGATTCTAAATTGTTACCCTATTCAACAATGGAAAACCAAGCTCCCAGGACCAGTATTTAGTCTTCTATACTGTTCCTCATTAAGCCTATAAGAAATGGCTTGGTTCACCTCAAACTGGGTGCTTATGTGACCTTGAAACGTTGTCTGGCAATTCCTGTGGAACTGCAGGTTTGTGCAGCTGACTGTAGAAAACTGGTCAAAAGCTCCAAATGAATTTTCTGAAATTGTTCAAAGTAAAGGCTCTGGCCATTTTCCTGTTAGACATTTGGTGGCTGTATTGTTTTGTGAAGAAATTTTGGAAAGGTGCTTTACCTGTGCCTTTGTTCGAGACCCACATTCTGAAGGTATGCACAATACTATTCTTATATTAACCTCCACCCATAACAGTATAGGATAAATATACTGTGGAGAGGTTATGCTTTGCAGTAAATTATCAATCACTCACAACTATTGAAGAAGTTTTGAGAGACAGAGAGAGACCTGGCTATTTGGATATTCAGCTCCTACTATACAGTTTTACTACCATTAACAAAATCAACTAGATCTAAAAAAAATCTTCTCATCTTTGCATAACATGACAAAAGACAAAAGAGAAAAAGAAAAATGAAGAAAGATGGAACTTTTTTTATCTTCATGTGCTACAAGATTATATTCTTTGTTTACAATTGTGAAATTCTGCCTTTGCCTACCACCATGATCTCTATCTTACTCACAGAGGTCAATCACAATATTTCAGACTGAGCAAATAATCTTCTTTGGGGTAAAACTGTTATCTGGAAGAAAAATAACGTAACATTCTTCCTTTCAGAGCATTTCTTTGTTTTGCTGGCCCCCCTAAACTACCTGTGCTGTTTCTATTCACTTCAACAGGCTTCCTGGTTTAGTAATTTTATATGAAGCATGCTCATACTTAACCTGACATTATACTATTAATAGTAGTAAAACAGCTCTTAGATTTGTAGGTTGAATGTCAACACAAAATAATCAGAACAATTTCAAAATGTGTTAGCAATATAAGATGATTTACGCAGACTTTTATATAGCATGTATAAGCATGATGAGATGAAGCCAGAAACCAAACAACAACAAAAAAAGGTGAGCTGTATCTCACTAGACATGCACTTCTACCTTACCTTCTTCTGACATATTGCAGAAATTTCAGCTATAAGGGAAGGGAAATTAAAATCAAAAGAGTTATAATCATTCTGCCACCAGGTGCAATATGATAGAGTATCTAGTAAAGCATAATTCTAGGATGGTTTCTGGCTTCTGGATCTTATTGGGTTATTCAGTACCTTATATAGAAGATTAGAAACACATTTACATTAAGCCAATATAGTTTATGGTTGTATGGGGTATGGATGTCTGTAACAGAGAGTGAATCATTTTCCTTCATGGCTCAAATCTTTCACCTCCTACCATTCAAAACAAGGCAAATCTTGCCCATTTCTCACTTGCCTGGAACTACTTCGGGCTAGCCCACAACACCTTTATTGTCAGAGGCAAAAGCAAGATAATTACTCTGCCCATTCTATGCCCAAAAGCCAACTAAACTGGCAGTTAAATCTTCCTTACACAATACTTCCTAATTTAGAGATTACAGAACTGGTTAAATGACACCTACAACTTTGTTTGCCAGCACTCTGATATTATTTCCTAATATTTGCTGCCTGAGATAACTGTCTCTGTCTGCTGCCTAAGATAATTACCACAGTAACAGTTGGCCAGGCCTAGGTGTAGTAGTGGATGGTGACTTGCATAACAGAAATTTTTGCATAAACCCATTCAATTCCTAAGCTCGGAGGCTAAAATATTCATACAAGGAAGATACGCAATCATGGATTACAAGTAAAAGTTTTAGGAATAATGAATAACATTGGATTTGGCGAGGGACGATAATCTACAATTTAGCACTATACATCTCTGGTGAAAATGTATTCTACTCAGGACATTTCAGAAACTGCCTGGATGTTGGCAGTAAGAACAGTGTTCAAACTTTAAAAAATGTATTACTCATAAAACCTCTCTGTTAGTCTTGCTGTACATATAATCATAGATAAAAAATATAATATATGCATTCTAAAACTAAAACTAAAAACAAACATGTTGACTTTTTAAGTATTTATAAACTCAGTGAATATATTTTTACTCTTTTCATTCTTTTAAAAAATATTGCCTGTTTAATCCAATTTTTAAAAAGAAAAATTACATACACCTTGAATAATTTGCTTGAACAATTTTAATATATGCTTTGTTTGAAATTGATTGGAATTGTTCGAAAATATCCAACATTAACATCATTATATCTGATTAAAAGTCAGATATAGTGTGATGGTTCACAGTAGCAATAGCCTAAAACCAATGAGCATTATATCCTATTAAACATCATGAATCCAAAAATAGTCATAGTTAAAATAAAGCTACTCAAGATCTATATATTATATTGAGTCTATTTCAAATCTGACTAAGTCCAGATTCTTTTTATTGAGAGAAAGGGTCTTAGATTTGCAAAAATAAGAATTAAGCACTTTAAGAATAACATTCATATTACCTCTTCTCTTAAAGAATAATCCTGAAATAGGAACCTAGAAAATTATTTTATTTCAGATTGTATGTCCATTTACCACAGGATTGCCTACACCAATGATAATGATAAAGCTCTTACAATTCTAAGAATGATTAAATTGTTTGACTGTTGAGCTGAAAAAAGAAGAAAGTGAACCTGAGCATTTTTTACATGCAAAGACTTTCCATCCAGCTATGAATACCCTTTGAAAATCCTTATAACATTTCACAAGTCATTGTTTTATAAATATTACTATGTCGATACTGTGAATATTACTTTCTCTCATGTTAAATTCAGTCTTACCTTGTGGTAAAAGAACATCAACCAACCATTCACTGTGATCCCTTAAAAGAAAAAAAAAGGAATTAGAATGGACTGTGATGTCATCTATCCATTCAATGAAACAGTCATATTTTGAATTTAATGATTATGTATGTGGGCTAAGTTCTTAAGAATTCTCTGAGAAGAATTCTTGCAGGTATTTCTACAAGTTGAAGGGGAGAGATTGGAAGACTTCCACCAATTAGTTCTTCTACTTCTGCTAATCTTATGCTTCTGAAAAGCTATTTCACACGCCTGGGAGAAAGAAGAGAGAGAGAAGCCTTTATGGGAGACATTGCCTAAAATTAATTCCCCAATTAATGGGAATTAAACATACATGAAGAGCTCTCAGATACCTAATTAGGATCCAAGCTTTATTTTTACTTTTAAAACGGCAGCTGGACAACTTTAGCTTCTGTCATTCATTTATTCCAAGTCTGCCTGACTATTTTTCATGTTACAAAGAACACTCTAATTTAGAAGATACCAAAATATACAGAGAAACAAAATCTATTTGGCAAAAAGATAAAATACTAAAAAAGAGAATAAATAGCTCTAAGTGTAAAATAACTTATCCCTGTATAAAGCTTGGCCTTCTTTCTAAATTAATTAATTTTGCTTTAGATTTAAAGCAAGGATTTTGTTGATACAAAGGTGACTTTTATAAAATAAAAACACTTTTTAGTAATCCTTTGCAAGTGGCATCATTATAATGATAAAACAATGATAAAGCAGCAGCCCCAAATCACATCTTCTGAACCACATGTACAGGAATTGGTGGCCACATACTTCCAATTTTGATAATAATTAGATTTTAAAACTTAGGCCAAAAATAATCTATCTTCTCCGCTTAATGAACAACCCTGCGTTAAATTTCATTCTTAATATTGCTATTTTAATAAAATAATATGTGTTCCATTCTGAGTATCTCATTAAAGCAAATACTGTAACAGTGAGAAGTCTTATTATATACTTAAGAAACAACAAATGAAGGGGGAATACTTGGCCTTACATTACAATTTACAATTTAATGCTATACAATAGGAATAGGATTTGGGTTTTTTTTTCTTACCAAGACTGAATTCCTTCAGGGAATATAACAGTGCTAGATAAGGGCTCAACAGAAGGCAACAGCAGCAAGAGCCAGACCTTAAAGTATGTAGAAAGATCACTTCTCCCGTCTCCCTTTCTTCACCCTTTTTGACTTGTGACTTCTAATGCTACTCAGCCACCAATAAAGCCCATCCATATGTACTGTTACAACCAGCTGACTGATAGTTAGATTTATTTTCAGAGATGCTATAAACAATAGTAGCTAATTGATGCTTGAACTTAGGTAAAAGACAAGATATGACTTTGGTGATATGGGTTTCCCATCTCTGTTACAGATCCATGTGGCAGCATGCAGCACTGAAGCAACCACAAATTTGCCAAGTGTCTACTTCACATGAGTCCTGGGTCCTGGATTCCCCACATTCTCAAAGTTAGCTCATGTGAGGTATTGTAGTACAAAAATTGTTGCCCATGATACTGTGAGCCGGATGGATTTTCTCTTTGACTCATGCTTGCTATTGGCTGCCACAGTAACGGGGGCAGGGGAAATGGCATTGGGCTCTGGGAAGTCAGCTGGTCTGAAGATGGTGTAAGCTTCTCCTCTGGTAATAATGAATTATTAACTAGGGCATACAAAACCTTTGCTAGACCAATACTTGAATATAGCTCGGCTGTCTGGAATCCGCACTGTATATCAGACATTAATACAATTGAGCATGTCCAGAAGTATTTCACAAGAAGAGTACTACACTTCTCTGTTCGCAACAGAATACCCTACAGCACCAGGCTTGAAATTTTGAACGTGGACAACCTAGAACTACGCCACCCACAGTTTGACTTAAGCATAGTTTATAAAATAATCTGCTTTAATGTACTACCAGTCAAGGACTTTTTCACCTTCAACTGCAACAATTCAAGAGCACACAACAGATATAAACTTAATGTACACCACTCCAAACTTGATTGCAGAAAGTACGACTTCAGCAACAGAGTGGTCAATGCCTGGAACACACTACCTGATTCTGTTGTCACATCCCCAAACCCGCATTTCTTTTCCCTCAAACTAACCACTTATTGACCTCACCCCTTTTCTAAGAGGTATGTAAGAGGCGTGTGTACCTGTCCTATTGTCCCCAATTATTCATACTCATTTCCTGCATTTATACTTCTGCTTATTATCTTGTAAGCTATTGACAAATAAATACAAACAAATAAATGAACAAACAAACAAATAAATAAATAAAATGAAGGCCTGTGTGAACTAAAAGGGAGTTTTGCTCTCAAGAATTACTGGGCTGTTGAATTGAGTTGTTTACACCCAGTCAAGGCCAACAGTCCAGATGGACTAAATCACCTGAAGACGTGCTCCACACGACACTGTACAGGATGTGGATTGGACATGCAGCCTGGGTCCCTGGGGGGAGGGATTTGGGGAAACTTTCAATATGTATCGTTCGCACCTTTTGGCTCAGATCTTGCTTTCCTTTCGCCACCATCATTTCAAACTCAGTAAAAGTACCTCTTCTCTACCTCAATGGAGTCAGGAACTTTCTTTCTTGGGTTTTGAACGGAGGCAGGCCTGACAGAGACACTGTTTCACCCAGTTAAAAGTTAGACTTAAGAGTTGTAGTAGATTTTATATAGTAGATTTTAATATAGATTTTACTAAAGACTGAGATCAAAAATAGTTTAGCCAACTATATCATATAGAGGCATCCAATAGGATAAGTTTTCTTTAAACACTTGGAAAATCCTGACTCCTTCTATCATACATTTTCACTTCCTTGTATCTTTGAATCTTAATCCTTTTTGCTTAATTGCAGTCATGACAAGGACACTATTCCCTGCTCTGTTTTTATTTGTAACACAGAGCCCACTGTAACTACATAGCCAAAAAGGCATTAAGAGTTGCTAACCTAATCCTATGTAGCTTTTTCTCTGGTAATATCACACTACTAACTAGAGCATACAAAACATTTGCTAGACCAATACTTGAATACAGCTCATCAGTCTGGAACCCACAGTATGTATCTGATATTAACATAGTTGAGAAAGTGCAGAAATATTTCACAAGAATAGTTCTCTGCTCCTCTACTCGTTGCAGAATACCTTATGCCACCAGACTTGAAATTCTAGACCTAGAAAACCTAGAACTACGCCGCCTTCGGTCCTATCTAAGTATAGTATATAAAACCATGCATTGCAATGTCCTACCTGTCAATGAATACTTCAGCATCAACCATAACAATACAAGAGCACACAATAGATATAAACTCAAGGTAAACCTCACCAAACTTGATTGCAGGAAATACGACTTCAGCAATAGAGGGGTCAATGTTTGGAATACTCTACCTGACTCTGTGGTTTCTTCCCAAACCCCAAAAACTTTAACCTTAGACTGTCTACTATTGACCTCACCCCTTTCCTAAGAGCTCTGTAGGGGGCATGCATAAGTACATCAACGTGCCTACCATCCCTGTCCTATTGTTTCTTTTTTATTTTTCTTATACATATCCATTTCATGCATTCATAACTATGTTTATTCTTATACCTGTTATCTTATAATCACTTGACAAAATAAATAAATAAATAAATAAAAATATTTTGTACAGTGTCAAATGGTCTGTGTGACTTAATAAAGCAAATGTAATTTTTTATTCAACTTAGAAAATCACACTATTGTATTTGCACAGACCTGTAAATTAAATAGTTGTTTTTCTTCCTGCTTGGTTTCTATTTCAGTGTCACTTTAACTTAATTAGGCTCCAATGTTTAACACAACTTTTTAAAAGAAATATCTCTTTAAGTTTATCTCGAGTTTTTTCTCTCATTCTCTGTGTGTGTATGTGTGTGTATGCGTGCATGCATGTGCATTTCTTGATTTACTCACCCTGCAATCCTTTGGCTGCATTCTTCACAGAGATAGAGAGGGGGTGGTTTATCACCCAAAGCCACAGATAAAGAAGGGTCTACGCACATCTGAAATTCACAGGAAGCCTGAAATTAGTTTCTCGTTCCCCAAAAGCACCTTCCCTACATGAAGCCTCATTAGAGGACAGATAGATTTTGAATGAAATAAACTAACATTATAGGTCCTGGGTTTCCTTTTTACCCTAGTGCTTGAATATAGAGGAAGGATTATTTGTGATGACTGACGATGGCACAAATGGGTCACATTATTATTTTTTGAATGCTTGTTTGATATATTTTGTGGCACTGATTCAGTAAAAATAAGATATTAAGAAATAGTCATAATTTGTAATAAGGTAGTTTGGCACATTTTGAGATTCAGCAAGCAAACTAATATGCAAATAAAGCTGGTTCTGGGGGGGAAAGATCACAGTGTTAGTTAAACTATCAAAAGAGAATATGACTTTGCTTTCCAGTCTGAGCTGCATAGCACATTATGCCAATATGCCATAATATAGTTTATTTAACATATTCCATGTGCCTTTGTAAAGGATGGTTCATAGCTTCATTTAATGTCTGCATTCCCAGCCAATTGTGGGTCAATAAACTTAATTAATAAAAACATAGTTGAATGTGATGTATGGAATTTATCATTCCCTACTCTTATTGTGGTGTGTTACTCAAACTGGAATCTATGGGTTGAATTTTTCTCCTATTCACAAAATATTTAGCATTTACATACTAGGGTTACAGGTGGGAACAACATTTACCATAAGAATTCAGTCTATAAAACTTTGCATAGTTTAATTCTACTCTGATAAAATCTTATTTTTAAAATTTGGCTTGAAAGTTAAAATATCAGTTCAGTTCATAAGCATCAGACATATAACACTTGTTATTATCACCACAAACATTCAGATACTGAAGACGACAAAAGACATTAGAGAGAATATGGATTTACTTTTCATAGCCACTATAACTTTGAATAAATTATACCATTACTCTATCCAAAATGGAATGTTGGATTTACAGTTAGCAATAATACTAGCAATAGCACTTAGACTTATACATCACTTCACAGTGCTTTACAGCCCTCTCTAAGCAGTTTATAATGTCAGCATATTGCCCCCAACAATCTGGCTCCTCATTTTACTGACTTCAGAAGGATGGAAGGCTGAGACAACCTTGAACTGAAGTCTGGACAGGATTGAACTGCTGGCAGTCAACAGAATTAGCATGCAATACTGCATTCTAACCACTGTACCACCACAGCTCTTGTTACTGTTTTTTAAAACTCCAGTTCTATAACAAAAGTAGTTTGGGACTTAGTTTCTTTGCTCATGCTTTTCTGCATTTTCATTAGACTTCTGATTCTTATTTGGGTGTGTGCAAAGGACATGAGCTGGAGAAATAAGTGTCTTTGTGAGGGAAAATAATAATACTCAGTGTAGAAGTATAGTACAAGGTTGTTAATTCCAACTGTGGTCATTAAAGTTCTGTTGTCACTACAGAATTATTTGTAGAATTGTTAGGATCAAAAAAATGGACTTGGATGAAAGAAATCATTTTCACAATCTATTTATAGAAAAGAGGGATTTATCAGGAATTTTATAATGGGATTACCATGGTTATACTTGGCAATACCATAGTTTGAGTGGTAGACCTTCCATTCTGTTTCTAATGACCTTATTATGAACAGCTGGGATAAGGCTGAAATGACTACTCACAGGGCACATTTTACAGAAGTGTTCATTACCTTCACAGCTGGCTTGTTAATTGCATTATGGCATTCAATGTGCTGACAATGAATGGGATTCCATGCTGAAAAATAAAGCCATCATGGATAAAGTTGCACAGGTTTACTAAAAGCTAAATACTGGTAAAATTCAGCATTATATGAAACCATCAATATCATCTGAAGGAATTTTAGCTGATAAAGTCCCTGTTTCATACTTCAAATATTTAACCATGTTAGCCCAGCTCTGGCAAAGAGAGTGAAGCATAATGAAAGAATGTATTATAATGACTTATCAATTAAGATTCAACATCCAATAATGCCATTTAAAGTATGCCAGTCTGTTTATAAAAAAGAACTCTTTCTGAGAATCCAGAGGTTAAATTACCGGAGTTGGAATTTAGATAGGACGTATCTATAAAACAATTTCTTAAACGTTAAATGTGAATTTTTGTTTAGCATTCTGCATATCTTTACAAAATCACAGTAGAAAGTATTTTTAAGGCCTGGTTCATACAACCATGTTAATCACTTTTGCAATCCAATGGATATATAATTAATCACAGAATTAATGTAGTCAAGAGTATAAATGGAAACTCATGGTAAATCTATCATCAGAACATCAAAAAAATTTCTAGCTTTAAAATGCAAAACTATGTACTAACAGATTGAGTTCAATCTTTTTCTCATACACCATTAGGTTAAACATCATATGCTTATAGAAGAACCTACACCCTATTTTTTGACAGTATTTATCTGCTTTTCTAGTTTGGAAACAACTAGAATTGCTTTCCTTAATTAGGAAGCTAGAAAATTATCTTTAGTTTCACCATTTTTCAATTTCAAAAGTTCTAATCCAGAGTTCATTACAGGGTGATGAACATTTTATACAGAGGAGTCAATGCTTAAAAAAACAACTATATCTCAGTGACATTATTGATAACTTCTGCCAATAAATTGTATTAGCATTAATGCATAGTTTTATTATCTCAGTTACCTGTATACTGTAGTCCTCGATATTCACTTATTGCCCCAGGAGGTTTTAAGTTGGGCCAGTAGTGGAAAAGCATTTGGACTGCAGGTGGCTTTACTTGAGATGGGCCATATGCTATTACATATAGCAAATCCTAGAGGAAGTCAGAGGGTGTAACACATTTAAATTCAGGCAATGGCAGCCTTTACAAGTGCAGTGAGACACAAGTAATTGAAAAGTCAAAACAATTAGCAATTCAATGATCTTTCTCAAGACTTGAATAAGCCTCACTGAACTCAATGGCACATATGAGTTAAGTAGACATGCACAGCATTGAAATCCTGTCCAGTACTCTATATACTGGTTGATACATAGAACTTATTTATTTCAATAGTCATATATACAATTGCAATGTTGTCTCTTTCCTGAGAATACTTCATCCCTCAAATATTTAAATAAAATTAATTACCACTGATATTACCAAAGTTCTACTCTGATCTATCTATAGAAATCCATTCACTGACTATTTTTGTTTTTAAATGTACTGTTATTGTTTTCATGCTTATATACCACAGCAACAGGGAATAGAAACTTAGATTTAAGGAGCAAGGTGCCTCCAAATCAGTCCATGAATTTGTTTACAGTTCCAGAACTTTGCTCACAAACTTTAGATGTAAAATCCATACTGGGTTTTCCCCAAACATTTTCTGCTAACATAGTAGTGCTTGTTATTATTCTAATTTAGAGGGGTACAACTCTTTCTGGGCCACAAGCAACATTCCACAAAGTAGGAAAAACATATTAAATCTGAAAAACTGAAGAAATAAGAAACAGATGATCCATCAAAAAGCCAGGCTAAAGGACCCAACATCTCTACTAAGTTCCAGGAATATGGGTTGGCTGGGGGAAAATGTTGCCTAATTAATGCTAAGGCAACGGGGGTAGAGGGCAAGATAAGGCAGGAGCCCCCATTAATGGAATGGATTGCCAATAAATTCCTCAAGGGCTAAGTTTGCTGCAAATTCAGATAACCACAATAGAACTGATGATAAATTGATGGAGTATCTGTAATCTACCAATACTGTGAGAACAAGCGAGTCCAAATGGTCAGAAAGAACCATGGGGAAAAGCCCAGAGACAGACAGGCAATGGTGGGTGGAGGGACAGCAGATGGAAGAGAAGTTTGCCGGTATCATACATGGTTCTGCTAAAAGACTGAAACAATGTTTCTTCTCCACATTTTGGTTTATGGTTACCTAAAATTCAGTGGAAAGCCTCAAACAGAGAAAATACATGCATACATTTATGTCAGTCTACAGTGGAACTGTATTCTGTAACTTCAGGAAAGAAATTAGAAGTGCAGTTTCAAAATGATTTAGTAATTCAAAGTTACTAACTTATTAATCACCATACAGTACTGTTTCGATAAAAGCCATCTGGTCCCAAACTTACTTTCCATACTTCCTGTTTGTGTTTCATAAGACATTCCAGTAACTGACAATGATACACTAGGAAAGAAGAGACAAACAGACGCAAATTTCATTAAATGACAAATACTGTATTTCTTGTTTAATTACTAACTTTCTGGCAAATCAAATAGTTTGTGAGAATTCAAAAGTTAAACTGGATAATCAATTAAAACAAAAGCTAGCAACCTGAATCCCCTCCCCAGAGATTTTAGCGCAACCCCGACATAAATGGAGAATAAATAAAGCAGACCATTTCCAAAATAACCAAGCATTATTTTACCCTAGCAGACCTTGCTACTGTCTGAATGCCTTGCTGCTAACCATTGTGCACTGCCTTCTTTTTATCAGGAGGAACATCTGTAATCAGCTACTTAATACATAGGGATCAATTGATGATGTTTCCCTCTTTTCAACAACATACCCACATAATAGAAATGGAAATTTAATTAATTAAACATTAGGCTCAGGTATTTTTTTTGTTTTGTTTAAAAGCCCACCATAGATAGTAACTGAATAGATGCCCACATGAAGCATTTATTATAACTAATATAACCATTCTTCTATCTCTCTTTACCTGTAATCAATTAATTAAACAGAAGGAGGCAAAATTTATCTGTTTCCAAGCAGGCCTTATCATTACGAACTTTACCAAATGTGAAATATGAAGCAATCAACACCTTTTAATCTAAATTTAATATGAACTTCAGAGTTGTTAACAATTATCACTAAAGAAATTGTGATTAAAAAAAAAACTGTCCCATTTCCTGGTGTTAAAATTGAGCTTATGGTCCTTTTTTCCAGATCTTTAAATGTACCTTTGCATCATTGTGAAATTAATTAGCACCAAAAAAGCTACTTCAGCACTAGGCTTAGATATGTTAAAAGAGCCATTTCAATTACTTTTAAAAATAAGCACGTAGTGAGAGGGATTAAAAGCACTCTCAAATAGTTCTGCTACAAGAAACAGTCGTGGCAGCTAGTACATACCAGGATTGGTTGTATACTGCATTGCGATCATTAGCATTGAAGATGCAGAAAGATTAACATGAGCTGGTACCCCTTCTCTCCTTGAAGATCCCACTTCAAAGGAAACAAGAGAAAATATTAGCTTAAATAAATATTCTACCAATTCCATAGTTGCTATTATCGTAATATCTCACTGGTCATTGAAGAATGACAGCAGTGGAATTACAGGTCTTTCAAAAATTTGTTCTCACTTTCTTTTTATCTGGGCTCACTCCATCTTAATTAAGCAATGAAAATCACTTTTCTTGGTGAGTGAATAGGGATATCATTTGTTGACTTAATGATCATTTCAATTGCCCCAATAGAAGCATCTCTCCTAATTCTGTTTTTACTCTGGGGAACAGTGGAATTGTTTTCACAGACTGCAGAGAGAATAGCTCTTCCCTTAAACAAAGTGTTTGCTAGAGAAATGTTCAAGATTGTTATTTTTTTTTCATGTCTCTCTAGAGAGTTCCTCCAGATAGTGCACTTGGTTTGCTGTGGCAGATGCCTCCACTGTTGTTTAAGTGAATCACTGCAGTTGTTAAGTTAGTAATATGGTTGTTAAGTGAATCTAGCTATCCCCTTGACTTTGCTTTAGTGGTGGGATTCAATTTTTTTTACTACCAGTTCTGTGGGCATGGCTTGGTGGGCATGGCAGGGGAAGGATACTGTAAAAACTCCAGTCAGAGATGGTATTTTCTGGTTCTCCGAACTAGTCAAAATTTCTGCTACCCATTTTCCAGAACTGGTGAGAACCTGCTGAATACCACCTCTGCTTTGTTTGTCAGAAGGTCACAAAATGTGATTATATGACCCCAAGACACTACAACCATCATAAATATGAATAAGTTCCAAGCATCAGAATTCCTTTAATTAACTAATTAATTTTTGAACCAACCATCCCACTCCCAAAATAAGACCATGATGCTAAAGTTACTTCTTTGATACAGGAACACATTATTACGCATATATACTGTAACTCAAACTGGAATTCTAAAATGCTTGAAATACTTTAAAATCTGGAGGTTTTTCTTTGCTTAGCCAGGAAAAAGGTAAACACATGGCTCTGATTAAATTAACGAAGAATCCATACCATGAAAATAAATAAATAAATAAATAAAACTAATAGGAGAAAAGTACTCACAATAACTGTTCCAGTTATTTCTTTAAAATGTCAAAGGCCATTTCAGCTTTGTGATATCACAAACTACACATATCATAGGATAGCTGATTTCAGAAAAATATTTTCAGCTTTTTAAAATGTAAACAATGGTGTGTTACTCCGGCATCTGAACTGGACAATGCTATGTCCACCAATAGATGAAAGTAGCCAAAAATAAATGGCGGCAATTAAATATTTTAATCGATTATGTACTTTTTAGAAAAAAGATACAGTTAAAAAATACATGTTTAGGCCATAGTGACTGAGGTTACTACAAAGATGGAAAAGACAACTTCAAACCTGAGATTTTTCTTCTTACATTTCTTTCTCTAAACCAGAGTGCAACTAAACAGGCTTTACTAAGAATTTCTATCCTCAAACAAACATTTAGATCAGTAGTTCCCAATCTTTTCTGCACACCAAATCCTGCTTTAGATAGAAGATCATTTCAAGAAAATAGGATACCTGCTCACCATACTAGCAATACAAATTCTATGGTTTTCTCTTTCTCAGCTTCTCAGCTTGATATTCCCATCCAATTTTAAAGTCTGCTTATTTCTATAGCAATCTTAATGTACATATTTTATAGACTAATTATTTTAGATGTTTTTCTTTGAAAGATGCGTTGTTAAAAGTTTTGATGGAGGTGAGAAGTTCTGGAAGATTCTCAAAGAAACTTAAAAGGTACATGATTTCAGGAATGCATATATTGCAAATAGCTTATTCTGGTGAATACAAAAGGAAGGAATAAAAGAAATAGAAAATCAAATGTTTGTTGAGAGGACATTTAAAAAGAGAAATAAAGTTCTCTCAGTAGTATTTTGATATGAGCTCTGGATAAAATATACATAAAAATAAGGTGCAATTAATATATTATTGCTATATTAGAACATACTTCCAAACAACCATTGGATTGCAGTTACCCTCTTTTTTTCCAATATTAATGGGGTCTCTGGAGATGCAACTTAAATTTAATGCACGCCACCTTATTTTTTTTAATGAAAGTCTTTTTAAGATGGAAAAGTATCCATTGGGCATCGAAGAAACTGTTCACAGCAATCAAATTGCGCTCCCCAGTCCTAAAGTGATAACCTGTTTTGCAGCAAGCAACCCAGTCTAAATACTGTAAACCTCAAGAAAAAAAAAGTCAGAAATCTGTTTAATAAGATGTATTAGAAAAAAGAGTAACAATGCCAGCATTTTGGCAAGTACTCTACCTTTAAATGAGAAACATCTATCTAGACAAATTAGGGGATGAAAGTTTTGATTTGTTTTCTCCTGCTCTTTTGGTATTAATTTCTCTCTTTTGTGAGAGAAGGGCAGACTGAACTTGTTGATTGTTTTGGGAATGGCTACCAGATTTCTTATCAATTAAAGAACCAGCTCTTATATTAACCCTAAATGCATTGTCTTTTCTGAATTTTAATTTTCTTGAAAGAGGATTTTGCACTTCAGTGCAAAATAGGCCAATCCAGTAGCACCTGGAAATAGTGGAATCTAGCTTTAAGAGATTCAAAAGTCCTTAAATAGGATTGTGGGAAAGCTATTTTCTGTTTACTTAGAACCATCCATCTACAGAACTTAGTTATTAAAAACAAAAGCTGGAAGCTAAGTTGCTCTTGCCCCTGTAACATCTTGCCCTCGCCCAATGTGAGGTTGGCCCCAACCCTCCCATCCTTTCGTAAGGTCCTAAAGCTCTGTCAGTTGGCCTTGGCCCCACTGAGAAACAGCACACTAGAGATGAGTGGGGGAACAGCACATTAGAGGTCATTGATTAACAGCAGATCCTACCTACCGAGATTCCACCTGCCCTCCCTAATGTGTCTTTAGATTTTAAACTTTGGCTTTACTTTATTTATGTTTTAATATAGATATATTTTATGAATGTATATCCACACAGAGGCACCTTATGATAAGACGGGTGCCCAATAAATTTTATAAATAAATGAATACTTTTGAATCCTTTGGCCAATTCATCCCATGAATTCAAGCTCTTTGGATATTCTAAAAATCAACCCTCTAAAGCAGAAGAATATGCCATTCTTCTTCACAGGTGAAGCCTGATTTACTTACATGCAAATACAAATCAACCAGATTTACTTACATATTGCCATGGGCAAGAACGAAGTGCTGAGATACTCTATGATATCTTTGTGCAGAAACGGTGGGAATGTAGCTAAAGTAGAGATCATTGTGTACGGTAAAGTACTCAAGATGTCATCATTGAGAAAAGGTAGCAAACATGTAGTAGTATAAAAAATGGACTGTCCAAGATCTGTCAGAGGCACAAAGAACAAACAATATGAATACACAATTGCTTTATGCAAGGGCTTTCCCTATTTTATGTCCTTATGAATTAATTAGATTTAGCTGCAGAAGATGTAAAAAGGTTGAAATGTGAAGGAAGATAGTGCAAAAAAATAAAAAATAAAACTAGAGTTGAAACATTACATTCAATAAGTCTACATTGCCTGATCTATCATTACTTACTAGAAAGAAGAAATCTGAGGCTGTTCAACCACCCATGAAGTACCCTCTAAGTACAATGGTAGAAGGTACGAGAAGTGGCAAGAAGTTTAGAGTTTATGCCCTAAAGTAGCCTAAAACCAAAACTAACCAAAGACCTCCACCAAAGACCAGGAAAATTTCTTAAACTCTTGTCTGCCCACTTTGTAGCATCACCTCATGCACTGTCATGCTTGCACTTCCAAAAGCTGATAAGAAACAATTCATATCCAGAAGATCCTTGAACTGTTTCTGAAAGCTGATGATGGGATCCAACCTTTTTATGTGGAACGCTCCTGGTACTGACACCTAAGGATATTTCCTGCTAACTTATTTGATAACACCTTATGCTAAATTGCAGGTCACAACATTAATCTGAAAAGCAACAAATTAATAAAAGATGGCTACAGCAGCCTTGCCTGAAGGAAAAAAAAGAAAACCAGTTTTCTATCCTCTTGAGCAACAATCCAAGTGCCCATTGTTAGGCCCAAATGTTCAGAAACTAAGAGCAATTCTACATTCTGAGTATCTATGGTTGATTTTAATTACTAAGTTGATCCAATTTAAATTAGTATGAAATTAGTATTAGTATTGCAGCCAACACATGAACCTATCTAGTGCTTTTTACATTTTACAATAATATCTAAGAAACTTTTGGTCCATGAGATTTCTGGAAGTGCAGCTAAATATGATCCTAACATTTCAAAATGTGTTTCAATTCAGTTATAGCACTTGTATCAATTACTACAAAAATCTTAGTTTCATCATGTCCTCAGAATGTAAATTTACACTGAAGACAATTAATACTGCTATGCTTCTGTCACATTGATCTGATGCATCAAATATATTTATATACAAAATATTTAAAGTGGTATCACTATTTAAAATGTTTTATACATTGTCATTAATGTTGGTTACATTTAAGAATCAATGAAAAGGAATTCAGATCATGTGGCAAGAAGAATACATATGAGCTGATACACACACTTTTCACATAAAAGAAATAATGACAAAAATACAAGGAGAATACTGCATGCTTCAAAGTTTGCAAATATTGCTATATGTAATATATATATTACACACAAACACATACACACACGCTATATATATAGTGTGTGTGTATGTATATGTATGTGTGTGTGTGTGTATGTGTGTGTGTGTGTGTGTGTGTGTGTGTGTATATATATATACATACATACATACATACATATATGTTTTCTTAAGTTTTCGCGGGTACTTACATGTATGCCATTCAGCTTTGTTCGGGTATTTTCCCACGTCATTGTAGCTGTGCTTTTAAACTTGTAGCAACGTTTCGGCAGAACCTCATC